ATCATCGGTTGGACCTAAGTAACCAATTGTTATGTTGAATGCCTGCGTGTGCGTAACGTCGTGCGCATGTACGTGTGTGCATGTATGTGCTTGTTTAGCCCTGTTTACTGTTTGTTTTGCACTGTTTACTACTGTGTGTATAATACATGTATGTTAATAAAGGATAACTTGTATAGTAGCGATGATATCTCTGATTCTCATCACTTTTCCAAGTTTTCTTGTTCAAGTTTTACATTTATTTCGATTTTTTCCCCCTTTTTTTTTTATGAAATCGATTATGGATTTTAATAACCAAGCGCTTGGTTCGAGCCACTGTTCAACCGATAATCGAGTATAATCGATGATCGGGACATCACTACTAGCAATCACTCGTTTTTGAGTCGACGAAACCGATCATTAGTGTCATGTAGTAATGTGGCTGTACAAGAGTGAGAGGGCGCCTAAATTTTTCCCATAATGTTGTGTAATCGGTCGTAGGCTCACGTCAATGTCTCGTGTGGGACGCGTCTAGGCCTGCATTCGCTCGGATTTTGTCGTGCAGTCTTTGCTGTCATACGGGAAAACCTAGAATGATTATTATTAATAAACATTATTATAATAATTAAATGAACAAATAAATAAATAATTAAAAATATGTTTATTTACTTATTTATATAGTCTACATGTATAACATGTACGCGTGTTCGCCCGTGTTTGCAGATCCATTGGAGATGAAGTTTCCGCTGCTTTTCAAGCCACTGCACTTCTACAGGGACAAGAGCGAGGTGCCGGAGTGGCTGCGTCGCGCCAACCAGCAGATCCTCGATGCCGACTGCTACGTCATCGTGTCGGCCGAGTACAACCACAGCATCCCGCCCGCACTATCTAACATGATCGACCACTTCCCGGGCAGCTCGTTCTCCTGGAAGCCCGCCGGAATTGTTTGCTATTCTCCGGGTAAGATCGCTTTTTTATTCCAGAATCTCGTTCTCCGCCGGAATCGTTTGCTATTCTCCAGGTAAGATCGCTTTTTTTTCCAGAATCTCGTTCTCCGCCGGAATCGTTTGCTATTCTCCAGGTAAGAT